CATGGTACATTCAGTACCCTTCTCCAGCACCACAGCTCAAAAGCATCCACTCTCCTTCTGTCCTCCCTAGTCATTATCCAACTCTCTGATGCATAACAAGAGATTGCAAATACCATGGCCTGTATCAGGCGCACCTTAGTCTCCAGAGAGACACTGTTGCTCCTGAGTACTTTAGATAGCCATTATATAACCTCTAGCCCAGAGACTTGAAAGAAAATGAAGTAAAACTGTATTTGCAAACTTGTGTGTAGTGCTCCTCTGCAGATAGTGTATCCTCATATATGAGTCCCCTTCCTTTTGATGATGTGAAGGTAACAAGGAACATTTAAATGTTATAAATGAAAGAAAAATTCTTTTAACTTCCTCTGTATTTGGATATATACAGCTGAAAGTACATGAATTATCTACTTTCATTTACTCATTCAAAACTAAGGAAAAGAAGTTACCAAATCTAGTCAAGGAAGAGATGATTCCTAGGTTTTATTACTATATAATCACTAAGTCACTTTTTAAACTACAAATACAGCAATAGGATCAAAGTTCTTAATTTTAAGAAATCTCAAATTGTTAGTGTTTAATTATACAGTTTGATTTAATAAAAAAAAATCCTAAAAATGTGGAATTAAGTTCAATTCATCATAAACAAGACACTTAGTCCTATTTTTCCCATTTTTTTGGAAAGGTGATGCAAATAGGAACTACCCTGCCACCCCATTAGGGGCTCTGTGGAGTGTTACATTAGGTAACACATGCAAAATTACCTTGCAAGATGTAAATATATAAAACTCTCACATGAAAGCTTTTTGTGGTTTTAAATACTCTTCCAGAATAAAAGAAAAACAAACTTTGCAAATACTCCAATATTTCAGGTATTGCCCCAAATGGCTTGGAGTAGCATACCAATATGGCATAATTTGAAATTTCTCGCCAACAGAATCAGAATATTCTACACCCCTGAAAATTCCAACTCAGTCGTTGCTGCAGGATGTTATGGGACAAGTGAGGAAAGAGAAAGTGAAATTGCCTCATTATTTCCTGAGTGCCAAGCCCAGATCTCAACCTCTTTCAAAGGTAAAATAGACATGGGATCAAAGTGTCCAAAGCCAACCAGCGTTTTGTATAATGTTGACTCGTTGAAGATATTAATTTCCAGCAACTGGGCCCTACTATCTTGCTACCAAAGCTATGCAGAGATAAACTAATTATGTGCTGGAGCCATTTTATACAGCTTAGTGAGGGAACTTTGATGATTCAGTTGTTAAAACATCGGTAACTTGAAATCTGCCATACTAATAGTACTTACACCATAGAAATTGACAAACACTCTTATTTAAGGTTCTTCTTTCTAGAGAGCCAGTTTACCAGCATACTATTGGGTAGGGGGCTCCAAAGTCACCTTTTTCATAACTCCTGGAATAAAATCCAAATAACCTGCTGTGACAAGTTCCCATTTGCCCGTCCTCTCTAACCTAACTTCATATTATTCATTCTTCAGCCATCACGGATTTCCCTTAGTTCTTAAAAAGCATGAAACTGCTGCTTTCCTTAGTGTTTAAGAGCTTTTCCAACCCTGCTTCTGCAGAGGCCTGTCTCATTCTTTGGGCTGTATCTTTTATGTCACCTCTCCACCCAGAAATAAGATTCTGTCTCATCTCTGTTGGTAAACAGTATATGTGCCCACCAATTAAATATTAATAATTATTATTCGGTGCGAGAAGCTAGAGTCAGAAAATCAAAAGGGCTGAACTCATTCAGGATTTCTTAAGCTCAAGGAACTGAAGAACAAATTCAAACCTCGAGTTGATATAATCAAGGATGCTTTAGGCAGAATGTTAAATGATCCAG